TTATTTTTATATCCTGCAGGGTAACATTAAGCATAATGTGAACTCAATAAATCAGAAAATTAATGATCCCCCAAACTTCAGAACTGCTCTCTTTTGTTTTTGTTTTACAATTTTATTTTTATTTACTCGGTTATTTTTTAAATTACAAGTGTGGAGAGCTGAGTTGTAGCTAACAGATATTACAAGTGATTAGACAAGAGCCAGAAAATAAAGCAGAATTTGGCAGTGTCATAAATTCACTTCTGAAATATTCATTTTTTTAAAAATACAAAGTTTAACATAAAGGAGAAAAGATGGGAACAAAAGAAAAGCCAAAGGAACAGAAATATTAATAACCTACATTTCCTTCCTTTTTACTTGTCAAATTTTACTTTTCTTATTTTCCATGTTTGATATTTTATGTTATTCCTACAGACCCAAGTTACAAATGTGCTACAAAAATAGCAGAAGACCCTTTATTTATGTGTTTATGTATTTATTTATTTTTGTGTATGATAATGGGAATTGAACCCAAGGTCTTACACATGTCAGGCAAGTGTGCTAACGCCAAGCTAAACCCCGAGCTCCAACACAGGCCTTTTTAAATATTTGCGTATTTTGTTCTTCAAATAAAGAAGCCTTTTTATCTGAGGATTCTACATACACAGATTCAATCAACTACAGTGTAAAAACAGGTGCAAAAAACTGCATCTGTAATGAACATGTAGCCCTTTTTCATTGTTTTTATTAGGGCTTAATAACTAATTGCATAGCATTTACATGATATTAAGTATTACAAGTAATCTAGAAATAATTTAAAGCACATGGTAGGATGTGTGTAGCTTATATATAAATACTACATTATTTCATATAAGGCCCTTGAGCATCTGCAGATTTTAATATCCACACAGGTCCTGAAAGCAATCATCTACAGACAACAAAGAGCAGCTGTTACCTGAGAAGAGATTATACACAGGTATAAGCATTCAATGAGAGCATGAATGCTTGTACTCAACATAACACGATAGTTTAAGCCAATTCCGTTTTCAGTTAACTTTTCTCAGTGAAATGTAATGAATAAAACTATAGTTCTTAAATACTGTCTAAGTATTTCCTAAGGAATTTTCTGGGGACATAATAAAGATTATAACTGTAGAGCATATGAACTGCAAAAACCATGCAGAGTCACTTTTCCTTGTTTCTAAAAACTACGTAATGAAGAAACCAAACCATCTTTCTTACATTTATTCAGCTGATTTAAAAATCTATGCTGGCTTAAAATTATTTCTCTGTATCATGTAAACTCAAATCACAGGTGTTTAAAACACAAATGCCATTAGAAAATAAAATCTTCAGTCCCCAAAGGCACATATAAATAAAATAATCCAGTATTCATTTTGGTCAGTCTAAATAACATTAGATTAAATTTAAGTCTCCAGTTTCTACCTATGCAATTTTTATTAGTATTTTCCTAGTGAACATTTTATACTACCGTTTTTTTAGGTTACTGATCCATCATCATACAGCTTACATCTTACATTATGTCTCTGTAAGTGATGGCTTCATATATTTACATCACGTCTTCATCACATGATCTTGGGAGGAAAATGGGCAGGCAGAAACATACTGAGACCTTCCCATTAACTCTTCATAAGCTAAGACTGGTGCTGCAATAATTTTTCATAATAGCAGGTCCAAGAGAAAAGAATCAGAACTTTAAACGCTGGAATTTTCTCTGCTCTAACCAGATCCAGTTACAAATTACAAATCATACCCAATTAATATTTGAAGCCATTCTAAAAAGAGAGATGAAGAGAGAAATGAAAACAGAGATTTGCAAATCGGAAGGGGAAGAAGAACTGGAGGAACCTGGGAGGAACACAAGGGGAAGGGGACCAAAAAAAACAAAAAACAAAAAGAAACCCAAAAAGATGAATTAAGATGTTATGTACATGTACAAGCTCCTCACAATAAATGCAAACGTCGTGCACTGCAAATATGTATTAGTGAAAAAGAAAAATAAAGGAAGTTATGTAGGGTAATTTAAGAAAATAAAAAAGTACTTAGGTACTCAAAACTATAATCAAATAAAATATTCCCTTAACTCTGCTTATATCACTAACAGAATTAAGCAAAGAATAGCACTTTATCAAAAGTCAAAGAAAGACTGATGCATCCATCTTATTCTGAAGTTCCACAGCACCAGAGACTGTAAAATAGCAACATTTACACCAAAATTCTATTTTCCCCTTTAGATATTTTCCAGGACCTAAGCTACAAATACTTTTGTCATTTAAGTGGAAACATACACCCTTCCCACACAGTAATCTGCTGCATGTTCATGGGAAAAAACATTAATAAATCCAGTCCACTGACAAATGCTGGCAATAAAACAGCTTAAAATTTCATAGTAGAAATTCCATATCATAAAATAAAAGTGGGTATTTTAAATCAATAATGATCTTTCCAAAGCCTTTTATATGATCAGCCACTCTTTTATTAACCTGAGGTGTTCTTTTCAGCATGCACATGCGAGCACACACAAAGGCATTGTCTTTAAGTCTATGAGATATAACTAAAACAAGCTACATGTAGTAGGATGAGTAGAAATTGTCATCCTACATGATTCTCAAGAGAAAGATGATGCACATTATAAGAAACAGTGCCCAATGAAGACATACTAAGGTTCCCTGAAAAGGAGATAATCAATTACTGGTAGAAAACTACTTGGAAAAAACATTAGGTTGGAAAACAAAATAAAATAAAATCAATGCTACTTTAAGGTACTTCTTTACGGTACTCTGTGCTACTTGTGGCACAATTGCTTCTTCTTTTTTTAAAGAAATACAAAAGAATTTGACAGGTTTCGTAATAATGGGGTTGGTTGTATAATCTCATCATAGTAAATGTTGGAAATTGTTGAAAACAAAGCTGTACAATAAATACAACATATTGGGCCTGGGGAAATAGCTCAGCGGCACAGTGCTTGCCTGGCAAGCACAAGGCCCTGAGTTTAATTCCTGGGACAGAAAAAAAAAAAAACAAAAAAAACTGGAATAAATACAAGGAAATCATAAAGATTTATCTTCAGGACAACTTAAAAAACCTAACTGTGCTACTGTTATTAAAGTTGTATGAAAAGGTTGTAGCTTGTAATGAAATTCTTGCAGAAGTCATACACGTCACACAGTTAAAACCAAAATGAAAGTAATATGCGCTAGAAAACAGTGCTATGCAATTAAAAGGGGACTCTAATTGATAATGATGAAGACATTGATGTCAACATTAGTAAAGATACACTGTACCTGTCAATGAAGCAGCAGAGGGTAGGGTTTTGTGTGTTAGTTGGTTTTTTGAGACAGCATCTCACTTTGTAGTTAAGGCTGCCTCGAACTCTCTATGTAGCCGAGGCTGGCCTCAAACTCATGGCAATCTTCCTGCCTCAGCCTCCAAGTGCTAGGATTACATATATATGCCACCACACCCTGTGACGGTTTTAATGTTTCAAAAAAATTTAAAGATCAAAGCAAAAGACAGCAGTTTATAAAGTTTAAAAATGTGCAACAACTATTTGTATAAAATTATAACACAAAATAAAGAGGAGAAATATATCTAAGTAATATTTTATAGTATTTTAAAATACATATGTATAATTAACAACATCATATAAATAGAATTTTGACACTTTGCTACAGCTTTGAAAATATAATGTAATACATGAAAGTATAATGTTGTAAAATATAATGTAATTTACGTGGATTTCTTTCAGAAAAAAATGGGTGCTCACATACTCAGGCCTGCCTCAACCAAACTCGATGCCAAATTCCTCCTTTGCAGCACCAGCACACTCAGTGAATGACCTTTCACTGAGCGACATGGAACCCTAACACATCTGTATCCACTCTCATCCTCTTTTGGCAATCGCACAAATACCTAAAGCTTAAAGACACCCAATATCAAACGTATGAGTATCTCCCTAACAAAAAACAAAAAACCCAGAAAATCAAAACCAGGCTCTCCTTCAACTTTCCTTACCTGAGTAAAAAGAACCTCTTTCAACCCAGTAAATTAAGCCAGAAACTTTGGATCCAGTTTGGATCTTTCTTTGCATTCACCATTCCAAATCCTAATTCTTTGATACCTCTGAAAATTTTTTGTTCCCATTTCTTTGCATTTTTATTAACACTGTGCTATAAGCCAATTCTGTCTCCAGTTTGAACTAATTAACTTCCCAAACAGAGAAGTATCCAGTACAGGTATCTCTCCCCTGAATTACTGACTCAGATTCCCATACAGTTAATCCTACTTCCTAGCTTACTGTGCCTTTTAGAAAGGATGAACTTTCTAAATGGTAAATTTGATAGCGTTCCTCCACTGCTTAAAAACCCTCAATGGTTCTCCGTCGCCCTCAGAATAAAGCACACTACAACAGTCTTCATCTGGCATCTCTTTCTAGCTTCACATCTCATACCACCACTCACAAGAACTCTAGCTATACTGAGTTTTAGATCCTAAAAAGGAACATTCTTTCTTTCTTTAACCCTTCTGGCATATTGTTACTCAACACTCTCCACTGTATCTTTCATGATGTCACTTTTTTCATAAAGCATGTCTCACCTCCACATACAGACTCCCAGTAGCATCTCCAAATAGAGTACTTACTGTACGTGTAAAGTAACCACATGTCTTCTAGATTTTAACCTCTACCTATATAAAAATCATATCTATTTTTTCACAATTATAATCCTAGCACCTTGGCAGCAATAGGGCATGAAATTAAAAGCAACAGCCCTAGTCAAATGTGAAGTATTACAAACTGTGTGAGAATTCAGGACAATTACTTAAACTTTGCATATGTTTCCTTACCTGTAAAATGTAGGCATTATTACCTTACAAGACTTTACAAACATGATATGGGAAGTACTTAACATAGTGAAAGACATACAGAATGTTAGATGCTAATACTTCTTTATATAGAAACTATCAAAGAATATTCGCTTAATAAACACACTATTCAGAAATCATTAAAACCATACATTTTAATAATTCTCTATATGTGTAATTCATTATATTTCCAAATAAACTGTACAAGTCTGTGAGAAGCATTCCATTTTATGTCCATATGGTTGGCACTGTTGTTCTCGCATAGCCAACATTTAGCTGAGTTATAAGGCAGAATGTTCAAAAAGAATGACCTGTGCCTCACTTTCAGGAACAATTTGTTTATGAAGACGAATCTGCTCCAAACCAGGGCTTTCTAGAGGATTTGGGCTGGTGTTACAAATTGAAGCAGTTACATTATACCTTGCTGACTGATAAAAGCTGTAATATTCAAGTCTATTTTCCCCTGAGTTTTCTGGTGCCTTTAGTTTTTGTTTACATTGAACAACTTTGTAGATCAAAAAAATGATTAAAACACAAGCTAAGATGAAAAAAACAAGCAAAATGTCAAAAGCCTCATTCAACTTCTCAATTTCTTGGGTACAAGTTAGTGACGTTTTCCCTGACACTGAAGCATCAATCGGTAGAGCACTTTTTTCCAAGTTCAAGTTAACAGAAGAAGTAAGTTGTACTTGCACAGGTAACACTGCAGTAGTCTCTAACGGATTACCAAGGGTATTCTCTTGAAAAAATCTATTGGCAGGTGAGGTACGAATTCGTTCCCAGAAAGTAACACTCTCAGTCTCAGTATTTTCCAAATGTTTCCCATGTGTGGTTACTTTATGCCAGGTCATCATTAATGCAGTGGTCTTGTGACGATTACGAAGAGATTTTACAGCCCAAGCCCTGGATACATTTGTCGAAGATGTAATGCAATCTGTACTGTCAGTCCATTTAACATAACGTAATGCTCTGCCACGCATGAATGGGGATTTCTGACAATAGATGTTTAGAGTAATAGCTGAAGGTGTTAGCCAGTCTTGAAGGCCCCAAAGTTTGCAGTTACATTCCCAAGGATTAGAATGTGCCTGAAGATGAATCAATGAAGACAATGGCTTAAGGACCCTTGGATGTAAGTCTGTAAGATTATTAAATGACAGATTAAAGATCTTCAAAGATGCTCTCATGTTTTTAAATGTATGATTATCAATACTGATTATTCAGCTTCTATCTAACTTAAGGTAAGTTAAATTATTTAATAAACTAAATATGTCAGAGTTTAAATCTACTAAATCATTATGACTTAAGAGCAAACGTTTAAGATTATTAATACCATTAAATCCATTTCTAGTAACATTTTTAATTCTTGAATTGTTCAGGAAGAGATACAAGTCCTTTAAATGCAAATGGATGTATTGTTTTAATGAAGTTATGAGACAAAAAAAGTCTTTTAAGATTCTTAAGTACTTCAAGAGCATTTGATGGTACATTTGAGAAATTATTACTTTGTAGATACAAACAATCAAGGTTTTTGAGCCATTGAAAGCCTAAGTCTGACATTCTTAAAATTTTATTGTTTGACAAGTCAAGTACCTGAAGAGCAGCCACACCAATAAAGGCATCACTCCCAAGGACAGTGAGGCAATTTCTTCGTAGGCTTAAAGACAGCTGAAACTAGATCTTTAAACACTCCTCTTGGAAGAAAGGATACTTGATTACATTTTAAATATAAACTATGAAGATTTGAAAGTCTCTTAAAAATTCCAGGTTCTAAGCGTTTTATAAAATTATTATTTAGATACAGAAAATACAGATGCTCCAACTGAACAAAGGCTTTTGGATGTACATACACAATGCTAGAATTATCCAAATACAACGCTACAAGATAATGAAGTCCTGTTAAGTCATTCTGACATATGAGATATATTATTTCCAGTTAGATACAGGAAAACTGTACTTTCAGGAAAATTCTTAGGAATTTTCCTAAGAATTTGAAAGGCCTAAGTTACGGCAGTTAATTTGTCTCCCAGTGCAGAGCTGGCAAACAGATGAACATCCAAATATCTCTTTATGGAATAATGATACAACAAAATAGGTAACAAGCAGAAAGAATCTTGGGCAAGGCAGAGAAAACTGTAATCCACACATAGCCCTGTTCTTCATACCAAGAACAGATATTTTTCTGTTCATATCAGAATAGGCTATAAAAAAAGGAGGCAAAACTTCTCATTAGAAAATTCTTAAAAATGTAAGTTTTATAATACTAAAATTTCTGTATTCTGTTTTAATTAGGATCAGCCATTAAAATTAAATCATACTATGTGCAACAGTATAAAACAATGAGTATTTGGAATATGAAGTATTAACACTTGCTGGCCATTAACTCACTATCTGACCAAAAGATAATTCAAGTTTAATGAACTGCAAAATGTTTGCTAAGTTAATTTAAAATATCACAACTGATTATAACAAAGGTGACAAATAAGGTAGAAATGACAGTATGTGGATGAATGTCCCTTTATCAATTTAAAATTTAGTCTCAAATAACAATTTATGAAAAACAAATATATTACAGAACAATCAAACTCTAAACTTAGTATTTCACAAAACTAAAATATTTTTCATTCTTGCTAAAAGTTTATATTTAAATAAATAATCTTACCAAGAACAGGAAACTGATATAATTAATAGGTGATTCAAGTAAAAGCTTTCTTTTTAAAACTGAAGAGCGACATTTCTAAACTCCATTTTTGTTGACCTCCAGCTCTCCACCTCTTTTTTTTAAGCCACAGTTTGCTCAGGAAACACCACTCTCCACACTGGTTCCTCTATAGTCAGTGGGCAAAACAGATGTTGCCATGGATACAGGAAACTGAGAGACAGGAAGTAATTTTATCTGTGTTTCCAAAGTATTGTTGAAAGGAAATCTCAGGAACTTACTTTTCAGAATGCATTCAGAGTTTTACTATGTATGTAGCTAAATATCTCCTAGGATTTAAAAATAAGATTTTCTTTATAAAATTTTAGATTCCTCCCAGAATCTAAATACTAACAGGCTCTTGTTATCAAGTGACAACTACTCAGTGGAAAACATAAGCAGAAATAAGTATATAAGATAATGTGATTTTCAGGAATTTTTACACATATATATTTATTTTTGTATTTGCAAACATTTCAAACTTCAACTTTATGCTTTATTTCCTTTAAGAATAATAGGTAAAATGAACAAATAATTTGGACATAAAAATACTGAATATTATATGAAGGTATATGCCTAGGATTATGACACAAAATAGAATGTCAAATTACTGATAGATTATCTACGCATAAAAGGTTGGGGAGAGTGAAACAAGACTCTGAAAAACATATACATATATATATTAGTTTGATCCTAGTAGAACAAAAATAAATATGTGTTTACTCTGTGTTTTAAGGTACAGATTCACAGAGTTGAATATAAGCTGATTATAGTGGATTACATAATGCTTAGTCATTAACCTTTTTTAAAGGTTCAGTTGCTTAGGTTTTCTAATTCTGACTTTTATGAATATTACTAATACCTTTGGAGGCCAGGGTATGCTTAATGGTAGAGTACTTGCTTAGCATGCATGAGGTCACAGATGATTAAGAAAATAAAACTATTTCTCTATCTGGCAAAGAGCACCTGTGCAGGCAAATGATAAAACAAATGGGGTGAAGGTTAACAACAGGTGATTTAGGCATAGGTTGTATGGTCTTCCTTGCACTGTTCTTATAATGTTTTTCTAAGTCTGAAACCATTTGTAAATAAAAATATCATAACAGCTATTATTTCTATAAAATTTGTCTGTGTATATTACTGTCACAATGCGATACTAAATTTTCAAGCTATACTTTAATTAAAAATAAAAACAACTACTGTGCTCATATAGGATGGCAAAACGATGAAAATTTCCATTTGCTCAACTTTCAGGAAGGAGATGTAAGAAATGTTTAATTACAAATCTCATGATGAAATGCAAAAATAAACCTTATGCTTGAGAAGCACAGAATTTCTCAACTAAACGTGTGACTTTGGAGCTTAAAGAACAGTCATGTTTCCTAACAATGTACTAAAACTTGAATACTTTCAAAGTCCAAAACTCATCATTCTCCCTAGTGTAAGCGTACAGGAACATTTTTAACTGTGCAAGAACATTTTTTAACTTCAGTTCCTGTTACAGTCATTTTGAGAAGACTAAACTTCTCTATATATAATTTAAAGTACTACGTGGTAACAACATTCCTGTGTACCAGCACAGTTTTATGATGTGAAGTACAGCAAGTAGACAGTAGGGCTGTTTTGAAAGGATAGGGGAGACAATCCTGGGGCACCACTCTGCAGGTCAGAAAGGCATTAAGAACGTGTTCCTCAAACAACTAAAACAAAAAATTTATTTTGTCCCAGCTATTCCCCTTCATAATTTATAATACTAAATATTAGCAATAGTCTATATAATCATCAAAGGATGAATTGATAAAGAAAATGTGGTATCTACCCACAACGGAGTAGTACTTTGCCACAAAGAAAGATAAACTTAAGTCATCTGTAAGAAAATGGATGCACTTTGAGACCATACTATTAAATGAAATAGATCAGACATACAAGTTTAAATACCAAATGGTTTTCTTACAACAGAAACCCAAATTATAAATAAAGATTAAAAATAAAAGATAAGACACAGGAAGGAGATCAAGAAATGGAGCAAGGGTGAGGGAATGCGAGGAAAAGGGGATGAAAAAGGAATTAAGATGTGTTACGCACATGTACCAGTTCCACACAAGGAATATAAATAGTACGTACTGCAAACATGTACTAATAAAAAAAATTTTTAAAATATGTCCCAATTTCACAAGCTCTGAGGAACTTTCCTAAGTATTTAGAACAGGAGACTAAAGACATAGACAGGTGTTGCTTTCAGGTGCCAGTGTGCATTAAAGGTAAAATGGAGTGTGTCCTCCATGCACAGCATAGTATTCTAGCACAAAACATCAACTAAAAAAATGTTACTGAATGTTTGCTGTATTAATAATGTCTTGGAGTTGCTATCAGGTGGGAGAGTATTTTAGTTCTGTTGTCTGTGTCAAGGGTAAAGTGAATTTGTATTGGAAATGAAAAACTAAAGGGACTGCAAAAGAACTGTGCTTACATTATCAGCCTAAGGAGACAATAAGAGCAGTCAAAGGAAACACACAGAGATCCGAAAGGAGGCACTTTCCCTTCAGCAGCGGTGGCATGAATCTCTGGATCCTTCCTGAAGAACAAGATGAAACTTCCTTTGTGCCTCTACCACCAAATCTCTGTGCTTTCTCTTCATTCTTGCTCATGAAAACAGGTCAAAGGAAGGCTGAAACCATGGGACTTAGAATGCCTAGGACCCAGATGTATAAAGCTAAATTTTTATAGTATAACAGAATTTTTTTTAAATTTTCCAAATACTATGAAATCTCAGTTGTTGATTCTTTGTGATAGTTACTGTGTGATCAGGGTTTTATTCATAAAGTGTCTAAGCTAATGTTTTCAAGAGTTCTACCTATTCTATCTTCTAACAGATTTAACGTTTCTGTTTTAATATTTAGATCTTTGGTCCATTTTGATTTTAGTTTAAAGCATGGTGAAAGATATGGTTCTAGTTTTCATCTTGGCATGTGGAAAGCCAGTTTTCCAGCACCATTTATTAAAGAGGCTATCTTTCTTCCAATGTAGGGGTTTGCTCCTTTGTGAAAGATAAGGTGGCTGAATATATCTGGTGTTGTTTCTGCATCTTCTAATCTGTTCTACTGATCCTCAGGTTTGTTTTTTGTTTTGTTTTGTTTTTGCCAGTACCATGCTGTTCTTAATCACAGCAGCTTTGTAGTATAATTTCAGTCAGGGACTGTGACGCCCCCTGCCTTGCCTTTGTTGCCCAGAACTGCCTTTGCTATCTAGGTCCCTTCTGGTTCCAAATGAATTTTAGGATTGTTTTCCCTAATTCTGTGAGATATATTGCTGGAATTTTGATCAGGACTGCACTAACCCTGTGTACCAGTTTCAGAAGTATGGCCATTTTCACTATATTGCTTCTTCCTACCCAAGAACAAGTGTTATCTTTATCCTTCCATTTTCTGATATCCTCTTTAACCTCCTTTTTCAGAACACCAATGTGCAACATTCCTTATAAATATACACCTTAAATGAACACTAAACAAAATGCAGTGGGGTGGAGATGTAACTCAGTGGTGGAATACTTGCCTATCACCCACAAAGTTCAATCCCCAATATCACAAAAATCAAAAACAAAAACAAAAGACAGGAGGGAAACAATTCAATCTGTATCTATGCACAAAGTGACGTAATTGACAAACTCAGTTCGAACAACAAAGAACCAATTACATACCAAAAATTCAATTCACACATATTAGATCATTTACTACCTTTATAACTTCTGAAACCCAGAAAAGTAACTGTACTACTCCCCCAATCTGGTAGTTCTTCAAAAGATTAACCTTATCATCATATAACCCATCGATACTGAACAGAAATGAAAAGATGCATCTATACAAAAAAACTACACACAAATGTTTAT